CAGCTAGATCTAGCAGAGAGCTGGACAGAGACACACTTTGGCTTTGTGGCATTTGCCGTGTTGAGTCTGACAAACACACACAGAAAATAAGCTGTGAAGTAAATAAACCAATCTGCCGAAAATACCCATCACTCTCACTCACACTCTGTCCTCATGTGACGTACTGGGTGAATCACTGAAGCAGATTCGGTGTCAGTGCAAGCAAAGATGTCATATTCCATCTCACTGGGCATCAAATGTACCCCGGAGTCACACATGTGTAAATAAGAATCGCAGAACATGACATTCTGTTTGTGGGGAACATCCAGGCCTGTATGCCTCTCCCTCTCATCTCCTCCAGCAGTGATATGTAGACCCTATTACAACATGTAAATGACCCCCTGCTGTGTAATCTAGGAGTACGATATCACATACATGCTCAAGTCGTATAAGTTAGTGTGTCTATGTGACGCCTCTCTACATAATGCTGCGGCTGTGTATGCGTTTGAACATGTGTGCATTATGCATCCATGTACTGTGTGTGATTTGAGCTGTCAGAATTAGACGGATGTCGTCTGTGTGGAAAGTAGCATGAATATGAGGAACCTTTACTTTAAATCAAAGCGTACTCTCACTATGAATGACATGTACAAACACAGCCAAAGCTCACAGAGCCCACATTGAAATAATTACCTATTTCTAATGAGAATTACTTACGAAGGGGTTTTCAGTTTTTGACAGCATGTTCTCACTCCGATCTCGTCACATATCTACGTTGGGTCATGGACTTTCCATGTCTGGATACGAGTGAAAGTTGGTGTTTGTTGGACCCATCCACCACCCTTCCACCCACCCTACATGGACTTTCACTGCCTTAACTTTTGTTCTTGTCCCGCCATGTTTCGCAGCTGATGGCGACCAGCCGCGCATCATGCCGATTTTAAAGGACGGCTTTTTTCATCGTTACCTGACGCCAGAAGTCACTGCCCAAGCGCTGGTTTTCGATGACTTTGGAGTGAGACCTGGTTGTTTTTGAACTTGCGCTTCATTAAAGGAATACTTCACCTCCTAAAGGATCAACTGTATATCAATCACTCACCCTTGAACCTTGAATTAATGAAGAAAACTTGATGAACTTAAGTTAGGGGCCGTTCACATGCGTCTTTACCAGCCTGGAAAACACCAGGTTGGACACTGGGTGCTACTTTTGTGCCTTTTTTGAGCCAGCTTTTATGAGCGAAGTGGCAGGTTACGTCTGAGGTTGCTAAGCAACCTTAACAAGCACCTTATCAAAGCCTATTTACCTGAACTCCTCAGTGAAGAGATTCATTTATATAAAGACACTTTTGATTCTTTTGATCAGTGGACCCTTACGGACGAAAGGAATATGAATACTTGCCGGGTAATTGAGGAATGGACACATATTCTGATTTTATGACAGCCTCAGAGGAAGGAAGTGACCACAAAATTAATCTAAATAATAACATGCTCTGTGATTAATTCATCTAAATTATTTGCATACATCCGTTTTTGCTGTGAAAGTATTTAAAAAATTTCAATTCAAATGAATTTTGGCAGATATGTCGAAGTAAAGCTGCAGGATTTTGGACACAATTGTCCCCTTGTCCTCTGCCACCGCAACTGGTCTGCCGTCCATTGCAATCCATTTTGCAAGGGAGATAGTTAATCGGTCACAGGTAGACTTACTCAGTTTGCGTCTGAACACCTGGTTGCGTGTGGCTTAACGAGGCTGGCTGCTAGCGCTAGCATCAGAGGCTGTGCTAGCTTGGACCTCCAGGTTCGCTACTAAATGCTTTGTGTTGCGAAAATTCCTAGAATAGGAACGGTGCTCCTATCAACAGTTCCATCTGAGTGTTTTTTTAAAAAATGTAAATGTTCAATTCACGGGGGCCGAGCAGCATCGTTTCGTCTGTCTTCATCGTGTGACAAAGCCACTGTGGCTTTCAATGGCGTACCAGGTCAAAGGCACCATGGAACACGATTAATCAGTACATTTTTTTAATGTGTTTTTTTTATTTCTGTGATTAAGTAATCGAAATTAAGTCATTATTTTGACAGCCCTAGTTTGAACATTTATATTTAAATGCGCGATCTAAACAGCTAGCTAACGTTAGCTCCAGTGGGTAACCAACAATCCAATTTTATACATCAAAAATGTTTTATAAAAATGAACTGGTCTTTGCAGTTTCAAGGTAAAACGGGGTAATTCATTAATATACAAATGATGATTTTGGGGTGAAGTATTCCTTTAATGGTTAATGAATCATAGAGCAGCAATAAAGCAATAAGAAGCACATTTGGGCTCCAGTGGACTGCCTGTATGTTAGAGCAGACATATGTAATATGAGACCTTAATTTTTTGCTTTCTTCAAACTGCACTGCAAGAAACAAGATTTGTCATGGTGCACTTTTTTTATCAATGTCAGATTTTACGTCAGTGTTTGTTTACCCTATTTGATCAGTAAATAGGAATACAGTCCATAATTAGGCCGCTGTTTATTCCCTGCCACACTGTACGTCCTCCAAGTGGTGCACAAACCTGGAATATGTTTGTTTCTCTGGAGATCTCTCCGCTGTGGTTTTCTTTTGATGATACCATTTATGGGTCCAACTCTGCTTTTCAGGAAAGCAATAACCAAAAGATGGAGCTCTGGAGCAGCAAAGTGCCCTAATTGCTATATTGGCTATGACAGCCTTGTTCTTTTCTTTCATCACTAACACACTCCATCAGCCTTTTTCTCTGTCCTCCCACTATGCACTCATCTCTGCTCTTCAACATTTTTGTCGTGTGACAATGAGAGAAAATTGGTCAACCTTACCTGGATTTTTTTTTTTTTTTTTTTAAACTATTTCTTTTTTTATCCATCACACACACACATACACACACACATTTAATCACTCTGCGATGTGCCCATTTTCCCCTCATCTTCCACTCTACCCACTCTGGACCCACTCTAAATGCTGGAAGTCACATATTTATTTTAAATAGTTTCTCCCCCTGCCGCGACGGCACAAGAGAAATAAAATCAGAGTTATTTATTACGATATAAAACATGTAGTTTCGGGAAAATGAAGCCTTGGAGGATGGACGATATTGAATTCTTCAAAATGGCGCTCAAGCCGAGCCATTGTCTCTCCATCTCCCCGGGGACCTGGCCTGTTACATGTTGCATTTAAGCACACAGGGTCAATAAAGGTAATTGATAAGCTCTCATATGGATATATAGTGATGAATGAAGGATGTTTCTAGTGCAATGAATCAAGCTAGCTCCGGAGCCATAAATGGACGCTTGTATCCCCCACCTAATGGGAATAAGCATAAACTCATTCTCCATAGTCAATGCCATATAGTGTCACAGACAGGCGCTGTTATTGGTCCATCACTTACACTTTATGAGCACCATAGAGCTGAAGCACAAATGGTGTAGCGCCTTCGGTGGCTGAGTCATAGATTATTGGCAAGTCTATTGATCTGGCCAAGGAGGGGATAGAACCCTAGCATCAATCATCTTCAAGCTTATAGAATAAACTAAGATGCCTTATACAAGTAAAAAGAGAAAAATATAATATGAGATGTTTATATTAGCCTGATCCAAACTCCTTTCCTTAAAATTATTCCTTTAAAATCAAACATATTCCAAACATACCTTTCTATCTTTCATCCCTACACACTAGTGGACATATAAAAAAATATGCTACCCTCTGGTGGCTAAACAGGACACACTGCTGTACAAATGCCACAACACTCTTTAATGTAAAAAAAAAACATGCACAAAGCACAACAGATGACAAATAAACAAGTAAACATGTCAGGATATCCTCACATTACAACCATACCGGCGTAAGTACTGAAAACATTTTGATTTCCACCCCATAGTGTTTGAAATACATTCAATGGTGCAATAAAAAGAAATGCTTTGGCATCAGGAGAGGAAGTTGTAGCTTATTCACATGTTCAACAGCAATTTTTCCATGTTATGAGTGTTGGCTTTAGTGTAAACAAATCTAAACAGGATGTTTATTAGCTTATCTGCATGATCTGCTTTTAAAAGATTTCATAGTATCAGCAATGTGCTAGAAACATGGAGATGTTCGCACTTGAACACAAAAACAAAACATTGTGTGGAGTCACATGACATCGCAAAACTGTACACTGACATTAAATGATATAAAAATGACCCATGACTGTAAATCATCCCATTTCGAGGCGAGGTCACCTGTGTAACAGATAAAATAATATAGAATAGGATAAAACCACAGAAACAGAATGAATAGAAAGGACATTAAGCTGTTTGTTGTGGATGGTACCAGTGGAACGGTCCTGTACCGTCCCAATTTTTGGTCCCCCCTCTGTTGGGGTACCTAGCACACAGATATGCTACTAAAAGGTGGAGCTGTGAACACTGCAGTCTCATTGGTCAATAGCGGACGGTCACTCTGCTGACTTGGCTGAAATGTCGCTGGTTTTGAGGCTCACGTAACCACTGTCGGAGAAAAAAAACTTAATTCAATGGGTCGACTGCTGGCGACTTTTAAGGTGGAGCATTAACTTGTTATGTTACTCAGTGCATGAGATGATGACGTGAATCAACTGACACACCTAAATTTCACTGTGACAACTTTGACCATTACTTTAGTTTATGTATATTACATACACTTTAAGTAATGAGCAGATCTTCAAGCATTTATATATATTAATTTCAACCAGGTTATGTGACAGAATATATTCTAATCCTCACGCGGGAGGGGGCAAAAAAGCATCGTGGAGTGTTGTTCCTGTGGGCTATGGCAACACTAAACATCTGAGCTTGCCTGAGAAGGACTAAATGCACAAATCCACTATTTTTAAATATCCCATGGAGAGAGACTCTCACTGCAGCCTGTTCTATTTTGTTCTGAAAATATCAGTGTGCAGCTTCGTTCTGTGGACGATAAACGAGGTGCAGACTTCCATCTGTGTCACTGCTAATGAGGAAATACAGTGAGTGACAACAACCCCGCTCACATTTAAGAGTACTGTTTGCGGTGGAAACACTAGGGTCTAGGTACCATGTCTGAAGGGTTACTTTTGGTTCCTAAGGTACCATACTGGTAGTGTTGAGTAGAAACAGGGCTTTAGTCCACTGTCCCAACAATCACCAGCGAAATAAGCCCTTAATTCACCGAGTGAGGCAGCTACAGAAACGTTACATCACGTTTCGACAAACAGGTGATGGCAACAAGAAACTTTTACAAGTAACGGGTTACTTTTTTCAAAACATTGTACTTCACTGCTCGTTTGGTTGTTACTGCAAAACTACACCTCAGTGGATTTGTGACTCATCCTAAGTCGGTTTGAAGATGCGAAAGTAAGCCCGCTACAAAAGCTGCAATAGCAATGGTACACGTAAAAATGGCTGCCACTCTGATCATCCTGCTATGTTGATTTTAAGTGAACATCAGTTCTACTCTCTCATTCTATTTCTATGGACAAAACTTCAGGAAAGCAGTACTCTGATAGAGGTTCCCATATGCTCAGCCCCTGCCACTGCAAAATCACATACTATTACATAATCACTGTACAAACTCAGAAATTATTATTCCATGCATGTTCTCCGAAACGACTTCTCTTCCATTTCGCCGGTACTGAAGTGGTTTCTGAAGGATGAAAAAGTGGACCAGTGCATGCATCTTTAAAACCAGGCCCTGCTGAAAGCCTTTGTCTAGTTCTCGTATGATTCTTTTGTCTCTTTCAATAAGAGTGTTTCACATGGTTCAATAAATTCTCCAATATGGAAAGTCAAGAGCTCCTCTTCCGAACTTTTTACACATCTTTTGCACCATGAGGATTATTCACCTTTAGACAGTAACCAAAGGCACTGAAAGGAGAAAGTTAGTACGTGGAAGAGAGTAGATGCTTTAAAGACAAAAAGAAAACATCAGTTCTCAGTAAAATATAAAATGTTGTGAGAGTCTATAATGGAAACACCTGGGAGAAAAAAAATCCATATGTCCACTGACACTACAAGGCTGACTGCCTTTCATAAAGTTTACAACAGACTTTTACATTACGCTCTTATCCAGAGCAACTTACAAAAGGAGAGCAGTCTCAGTTTGAGACAATCCGACTGTTTATGGAGCAGCTGTTCACTAAAATAATCTAAAAGCTCCACTCATTTATCCACAGATGCATTTTGGACAACTCAGGTTCACTGTTACTCAACAGTTTGCCAAGTAAAACATGTTTACAGAGCTGTAGTGGTTCCATTTTTTGTATATCAGTCAAAAACCCCTGTTGTTCAAAGCAGCGTGGAGCTTGCAAGAGTCCAAGTGAGCCGTCTAGTTTCTTGCTCAAGGACAAGAAGTTTGTACAGCCAATCACAATCGAGTCTTTCTGACCAAGCTTATGAGGCTTAAGTCAAAGCTTCTCCTTGGCCCCCGTCCCATTATTGTGATTAGGTTTTGTCACCGTCCACGTGGAGCCTTCCTGTTGACATTTGCCAGGCTGTGTGCCAGTTTCTTGGTGAGGAGTGTGTGGGATTTACCACAGTACGTGTGCGTCGTCTTCAACAGCTCCTCTTCGAGTGGATCCAATAAAGAAGTCACTGGGTCGGCGCCAAAGGAGTACTGGAATGACAAAATGATCCATTGGTTAGGTTTGGTTTAATGTACGGCATTTTCCATACATAGATTTATTTGTGGCAGGGTTAGGGTTGGGATTGGGGTTAGGGGGGTTAGGGTTAGGGCACTGCGCTCCCTGTATTGGTTTAGCATGCAGGAGCGAGGGAGTTGGCATCTGGATGCAGCAAGAGATGTGACAAGATTATCAAAGTTCATACAAGTGCAGACCAGTGACCATAAGGACATTCTACACCATAAGTAAGTCAGGCATCACTGTGTGTAGACTTCAGTCCAAAGTGTAGCTAATACACTTCACTATTAAACCAGAGAACTGCAAAGTAACTTTGGGCTAAATGATCAAAAAGCATCTGATATAAAGGAACTTTTAAAACAAGGGCAGAGCACTGCATATAAAGGCAGACTCTGCGCTATGAAGCAGACTTGCCAAGTAAGATGACTTGTATTCTCCTGTTTCTTCAGAGATCTGAAACACGGGGGTGGTGGTTGTCTAAAGGTTGGAGGCTTGCAAACTTAAAATGAGCAGCTGAAATCCCAAACTGGTATCAGAGCTCCCCCGAGGACAGCTCTCAGCCTGCTACTGTTCGAGTGGAATTGATCAGATTCCCGCAGTAAGTAAGCAAAGTGGTGCTTTGGGCGGCGTTTGGGCTTGGAAGATATCTTTCCCTGGATAAATTAAAAACGAAATCCGCGAGGCACGTCGAACTCAGGGGGGGATTCCAAATCTAATCTGATCGGTCAGCTGGGTGAAACATAAAGCGGTCCACGTTGTTGGGGAGTCAGTTTTATGCTATAGGCTTACGGTCCAGTGATAGCCAGGGATTACAGAACAAATTTCATGTCTTCCCAATAATGAAGGAGCCTTTACAACGCTCCGAGGAAATCAAAGGGGAATTACCATTTTTTATGCCAGCTCATTTGCTTGCGGTTGGGTCCCTGATATTGGGTCACAAAGAGAATGGCGTTTTTATGAGCGCATACTTAGACACACGCACATGCACACACGCTGGTCATAAAGTTGCATTTACAGTTGGTGTATTGATTTTGTGCGGCTGATGGGGCACTGTTGGTGTGCAGACTCCCAACTCTAAACGTACCATCAGCTGTAAAATTTAACTGCTGCTTCCTGGGCTCGGCTTTTTGCAGCAGAGGGAGGGAGGAGAGACTTAATGATGGACGGACTGCTGTGGTCTGTTTGAGACACAGACAGGCAGACGGACAGTCTTTGTGTGAGGACACAGGGCATGGTCACTGATTTACGTCCAGTTGTCTCCAGTTTATGAGAATATGCTGTTGAAACATCTAAATCTAAAGGTAGAATTAGTGACGTTAACAGCAGATAAACATAAGGCAGTTCATCCTTGTGTCTAAGTGGACATTTGTGCCAAATTTGAGGACATTTCCTCAAGGCGTTCCTGAGATATCACCAGAACGAGACGGATTGACAACTTGAAAACACAATGCCTCCAGCCGTGGCTTGTACCAGCGTGGGGGCACAGAAATAAAAAATAATCCTTGGTTGCAGCCGAACATAAACAACATGTTTTCAGTCTTTGTCTTGCTGTGGGCATTACTACATCCTCGATTTGCTGATATTGGCTTTTGAGTGGTGTGTGGGACATTTTTATTGTTGTTAGATTGTTATTTTATTGTCTGTATCTGCTCTATATTGAATGCCTAACTTTGTTTAAATGTGCTGCTGCCTGTCTCTGGAAGGACACTCTTATAAATGAGGCATTTCCTGGTTAAATAAATTTGTCGAAAAACTCCTGCACATTGTCTAACTTTCAAAAATAATGACTTTAATGCTGCAACATTAGGGACAAGTTCTGTTCTGCTCGTCCCTCTCCTACACACCTGTTTGGAAATAGATGTGCAAAGTATTCCTTTGTTCTAGTTAAATAAATTTAAAATAAAAATATTTGAAGTTTGTGTGAGTTTTGTGATTTTAGTGAACAGAAAGCTGGCTTGTGGCTACGTAACTCTGACTAAGTTATATAATCTTCACCAACAGAAGAGCTGAAAATGTGGGGGGAATCCAACAGAGCAGTAATCAGTGTTATGAGCAGCACCTGTGTTTCCTGCCTCACACCCTCACCTGACCTGTCACCTGATTACACACCTGCTCCACATCATAATCAGCCCCAGTATATATGTTCACTCCAACCAGTCTGTCACTATTCTGCCAAGTTTTGTGTGTGTGTGTGTGTGTGTGTGTGTGTGTGTGTGTGTGTGCGTGCGTGCGTGCGTGCGTGCGCGCGCGCGCGCGCTGCGTGCTGTGTGTGTGTGTGTGTGCTGCTGCTGTCTGTGTAGCCTGAAAGACTGTTTCAGATTGGCTTATTTTTGTTGGCCCTTTAAGTTTCACACACAACCATGAACACTGGGTGCTGGACAGAAGAACAAATACAAAAATACACAAACAGGTCTGCACACCAGAATTATATGAACTGAAAAAGAGTTGAACCCTATTAAATTAGACACGTGTGCGTCACAGTATATGAGCCAGGTTGAGGATGGCAGATGGGAGCACAGGATTGCACACTAGGCCATGTTTGATGTTGGGTTATACTGAGCCTGTCCTCCTCCACACATTGTTTGTGAGAGCAAATAATGACTTGAGAACTTGCTGCCATTCTGTTTTTGAACTTCAACATTTCCCTGTAACTATGCTGTATTTCAAAATTGAACTAAAGTGAATCTGCATATGAGTCCTCTTTTCTGTGCCAGAAAACACACTTTCACAGAGCTGCCAAAGTAGTGCTGTCCTGTTTGTTATTCACTCCATAACACCACGCAAATAGCCTGAGGTTTTGCTGCAGATGAACAAGCACAAAATGGATGAAGTGGTCCGTCCAGTGAGATGAGACACACAGAAGATCAATTTATACTCCTGGAAAACCAGACTTAATCACATACATGAAAGTATCAATACCTACATAGGCTATTGGAAAAATGGGGTGTTAGTGCATGCTGTGGGCGCGTGGTTATGCTCACTTGTAGCAGCAAAGGTACATGTGTGTGTCTTCTGCTGTAATTGATCTTGTCCCATAAAGCGGCAGCTCTAACTGCAGGCCATGGATAAGGTATGGATCAGCCATCGCTCTGATCTATGTCCAATGCTTTGTTAATAGGAAAGCAATGAGACTCCCAACGTTGATGGCTTCATTAAGTAAATGCCACTGGTGTCGTCAATATCATTACACTGCTGGTAAACAACCCATAAACATCCTCATGGGGGAAATTAGCTTTCACTCCAACCTTCTGGAAATGGCGGAGATTTGTTTTGCGACGCAGACAACCTGATGTCACTAACAATTACGGTCTTCAGGGTCAGCGCCAATCCGAAATCTCATTTAGGGGGGTAAAAGGACAGGGCGGTGGAGGAGAGCAGGTGTGTCACCGGGGTTGTAAAAGGGCTCCTTTCATCAGAGGTTGCTCTAAATTACACCGACAACACTTTGAAAAGACTCACCATGGTCTTTTTTAATTTAATGCACCCAAGAGACCGTGAACAGGGTGCACTTACTCGTTTTCAGTCCGTGTCTGGCATGTCACTTAATTTCCCCAAATGCCTTTTTGTCTAACTTTCTGCACTCAGTATGTGTGCGTGTATATATAGATGTTGTAATGGAATACAACCTGTGATCGTAAGAATAAAACATGTTTCAGGCGGCACAATTCCTGTTTAAAAAGGGGCTTATGTCTAAGTCACAGTGACCTTTGGCCACCTATATCTTATCAATACATCATTGCATCCAAGTGGACGTTTGTGCCAAATTCGAAGAAATTCCTTCAAGACCTTCTTGAGATACTGCACTCACAACAGCGGATGGGCAGACGGACAACCCGAAAACATAATGCCTCTGTCCACGGCTGTCACTAGCGCAGAGGCACAGAAAATGTAAGGGCATCTTCAAGAGCTTTTATCATAAGTTTTGCACTAGTCTGCCCTGAAGATGGCTGATACTAACAATAAAAAGTTATTAAAAGATTAATGGTGATGCCCCCAGTGCATAAAAATTAATTTCATCAATAGTCTTGTTCAGACAAACACGAGAAGAGGTCTACACAGCACACTGAACTCTGACTTCACAAAGCTTAATATGACCCAAGCATCTCACATTCAGTATCACAAACACTCCAATGTGTGCCCACCTTCCGTATGGCCTCGTATACAGCCCTGAAGGCAGGTTGTTTGTGGTCGTGGTAAACCCCTCTGTTTCCATGCAGTATGTAGATGCCGTCCTCTTCAGCTGACGCACAGTTACTGCCATAGATACAATGATCTGGACGATAATTCCACTGGCACGGAAACTCCAGCAAGCACTCTGGGAATGGAGGCGCACAAAAAACAAACACTTCAGTCAACAAATCAGTGCGACAAAGAGGCACTCGGTAACAAGTGATCCCCACATCATGCCTTACCAGGGTTGTGATGGAAAATAATATTGAGAAGGTCCTGGTCTCCCCAGGTTATGTTGAGTTTGTATTTTTGAAGTAGAGGCATCAGCAGCTCCTCCCAACGCAGCCCCACAGCTGTCATGTCATTCTGTCAACATACACACATATACACACTTGTGTCACCATGTTGTTAAGCGCTTGCAGCTTCACATTGCAACAGGAACTGAATCCTTTCGCAGACTTCAGTGTGCAACATCTGCAGCGGCAGGAGGACATCTTGTGGCCAACAGAAGTAGTACACTCACAGTAAGCAGCAGTCCTACCTTGAAGAACATGTTTCTCATCCTCGTCATGTTCATGAGCATGACCCCCGAGTTGATGCCCGTCCTGCCGTAGAAGGGGTGGCGGGCAAAGCGGTTGTACCAAGCGATACGGGGCTCCTCGTGCTCCGGTGCCATGGCAGCCAGCTGGGAGGAATTAAACTGGGACAGGAACGCCCACAGGCGGTCTACAGGCTGCAGGAAGAGGATGTCTGAGTCGACGTACACGATCGAGTCGACGTCCTTTAGGATCAGCTGAATAGATTGAAGGAGACACACAGAGACAGATGTCACTGAGAGTATTAATAATGTGGGTGCTCTCCAGTGGTGCATACTGCTGGTATGTTCTGCAGTGGCCTGACAAAGGGGATTAAAATAAAACTACGATGTCAGGCGTTACATGATCAAGGCGAGGAAGAAAGGAGAGGAAGCTGAGCGATATCTGATTCTGAGAAATTTAAATATAATAGCCTGATCAACAAAACTTTGGTCAAAATATAAGGCAGTGTTATGTGGTTCACTTGAATTTCAAGCACTTTTTAAGCACTTTGTCGTACAAGGGGCTATTTTTAGAGATATTCCAGTACTTGATTTACCCCCCTCAAAATTCAAGCACTTCAAGGACCTTGTGCGAACTCTGAATATGTGTTTCCACTGATATATTCTCGTGCTGAAGAGTCCTCTCTGTATTAGAAACTCACAGGTAAGAAGAGCCTCTGAGAAGCGCAGGGCTTGAAGAGTTTCTTCCACTCAGCTGCGTTCTCACTGGGGAAACTGATGGAGTAGACTGTGTAGTTGAACCTGGAGCGGATAAAATCAGGCCACGACTCCAGCTGGAAGACAGATTACACGAGAAATTGCGAGTAAGATACGATCAACACAAACTCAGGGTCAATCACAGTCAACAGCAAGCACACTGGAGTTTCCAGACTTTCATTTTTCCAAATATTTCCTACTCACGGCTTCCATGAAGCTGGCGTGTAACTGATCTTCAGCGAGGATGTGCAGGTGGAGGCGCTTGACACTAAAAAGCACAGCAGACTTGATCATGGTGAGAGTCTCCTCCAGCCTCTCCCCACAGGCCACCACAGCCAGGTGCATGGGAGGTTCAGGTCTGCTCTGGGTGCTGCCACCACCTGCCTCCATCTGGCCTCGCTGGCGCATGATGTACCTGAGAGAGAGGATGGAGAGTCAGGTAGATGTTGTTATAGTCAAGACTCTGGAATTCACAGGTTTGTATTATGCACATTTTGTCAGTCTAAACTAAAATATTCTCAGATTCCAGCTTCTCAAATGTGATTTCCGTTGTATTATATTACGGAAAACACTGTTTACATGTTGGACTTTTGTTCCAACAAAAGCAATTGGAAGAAATCCTGATAACATGTACATTAAGCAGTGGTATATTCTATGGATTTTATCTTGACTGACTGAGCCTGGTCTTGCCTACAGCCATGATGGCAGTGACCTCTATAAGGGACTGGAACGCAGAAGAAAGGTGTTGTCTCTTCCTTTTCAACTTTATTAGCTGCTCCTGCCATTCATCCTACTCGTCACACACAAACATCTGGCAGACACAATTACAGTCAGGTGTGAAGTTTCAGTAATCACTTCCTATGTTTATATAAGCATGCAAGTGGATGAATAGTAAGCCCTCCTTTAAAGTGATGTATAAATCACTATAAACTATTTTTCTTTTTGGTTATTATGGCTCCTGTTTTGTCCAATTTTTTCCACCTGGACTTTTCATTTATTGACTTATTTTTGTTATAATTCTTATTTATTTATTTATATATTAATCTCCCCCAGTCTTTTTACTTTTATTCTATTTTCCCTCCTCTTCAATAAGTTTGACTATTATTTTGCTCGTTATTTTGTATAGAATGCACACCCTCTACAAAATGTTGTCTATGTATATACTTTTGCATGTTCTCCAAGTGTTAATTTATTTCTAATAAAATGTTTAAATATGCATTCAAGTGGAGGAATAGTAAGCCCTCCTTAAACTGAATTATACGTAACTTTAAGTCGTGTGTCGTTCAAGAATTTTGAATTATGGTTCCTGTTTTGTATCTTGATGTTTTTGCTCCAGTTTGTCAAATTTTGTATGCCTAGAGTTTGAATTTATTAAGATAAGATAAATCTTTGTTGTCATTGTACAATGTAGGGCTGCAATGATTAGTCGACTAATCGATGACTAATCGACTATTAAAATAATTGGTGACTATTTTAGTAGTCGACTAATTGGTTTGAGTCATAGTCAAGTACCTCAAAATACTCTTTTTGCTGCTTCTTACGCTCAAATATTGGCAGCTTTACACACTCTCCCATGACAGTGAACTAAAACCCTTTGGCGTGAGTACGAAACAAGACATTAGATGACATAATTTTGGGTTTGGGAGAGACAGACCGACATTTTTCAACATTTTAACACCTTTTTCGATAAAATGATTAGTCGACTAATCGAGGAAATAATCGGCAGATTAGTCGACAATGAAAATAATCGTTAGTTGCAGCCCTAGTACGGTCATACTTGTGTACAACAGCACAACAATATATACAGTACAGGCCAAAAGTTTGGACACACCTTCTCATTCAATGCGTTTTCTTTATTTTCATGACTATTTACATTGTAAATTCTCACTGAAGGCATCAAAACTATGAATGAACACATGTGGAGTTATGTACTTAACAAAAAAAGGTGAAATAACTGAAAACATGTTTTATATTCTAGTTTCTTCAAAATAGCCACCCTTTGCTCTGATTACTGCTTTGCACACTCTTGGCATTCTCTCCATGAGCTTCAAGAGGTAGTCACCTGAAATGGTTTCCACTTCACAGGTGTGCCTTATCAGGGTTAATTAGTGGAATTTCTTGCTTTATCAATGGGGTTGGGACCATCAGTTGTGTTGTGCAGAAGTCAGGTTAATACACAGCCGACAGCCCTATTGGACAACTGTTAAAATTCATATTGTGGCAAGAACCAATCAGCTAACTAAAGAAAAACGAGTGGCCATCATTACTTTAAGAAATGAAGGTCAGTCAGTCCGGAAAATTGCAAAAACTTTAAATGTGTCCCCAAGTGGAGTCGCAAAAACCATCAAGCGCTACAACGAAACTGGCACACATGAGGACCGACCCAGGAAAGGAAGACCAAGAGTCACCTCTGCTTCTGAGGATAAGTTCATCCGAGTCACCAGCCTCAGAAATCGCAAGTTAACAGCAGCTCAGATCAGAGACCAGATGAATGCCACACAGAGTTCTAGCAGCAGACCCATCTCTAGAACAACTGTTAAGAGGAGACTGCGCCAATCAGGCCTTCATGGTCAAAGAGCTGCTAGGAAACCACTGCTAAGGAGAGGCAACAAGCAGAAGAGATTTGTTTGGGCCAAGAAACACAAGGAATGGACATTAGACCAGTGGAAATCTGTGCTTTGGTCTGATGAGTCCAAATTTGAGATCTTCGGTTCCAACCGCCATGTCTTTGTGAGACGCAGAAAAGGTGAACGGATGGATTCCACATGCCTGGTTCCCACTGTGAAGCATGGAGGAGGAGGTGTGATGGTGTGGGGGTGTTTTGCTGGTGACACTGTTGGGGATTTATTCAAAATTGAAGGCACACTGAACCAGCATGGCTACCACAGCATCCTGCAGCGACATGCCATCCCATCCAGTTTGCATTTAGTTGGACGATCATTTATTTTTCAACAGGACAATGACCCCAAACACACCTCCAGGCTGTGTAAGGGCTATTTGACCAAGAAGGAGAGTGATGGAGTGCTGCGGCAGATGACCTGGCCTCCACAGTCACCGGACCTGAACCCAATCGAGATGGTTTGGGGTGAGCTGGACCGCAGAGTGAAGGCAAAGGGGCCAACAAGTGCTAAACACCTCTGGGAACTCCTTCAAGACTGTTGGAAAACCATTTCAGGTGACTACCTCTTGAAGCTCATAGAGAGAATGCCAAGAGTGTGCAAAGCAGTAATCAGAGCAAAGGGTGGCTATTTTGAAGAAACTAGACTATAAAACATGTTTTCAGTTATTTCACCTTTTTTTGTTAAGTACATAACTCCACATGTGTTCATTCATAGTTTTGATGCCTTCAGTGAGAATCTACAATTTAAATAGTCATGAAAATAAAGAAAACGCATTGAATGAGAAGGCGTGTCCAAACTTTTGGCCTGTACTGTATATTGTCCACTTTGGTGCAAAAGAAGGCATATAAAAACTAAAATATATTAAGAGTAGAAAAATATATGCAAAATATATAATTAAGTGTGATTAACTGTATATTAACTTTTTTTTAAAAAAAAAAACAACTTATGTATCTATATATAAATCTCCCCAAGTCTGTTTTATTATTTTTATTTCCCTGTCTTCATCACAGTTGACTATTATTTTAGCTCGAAGTTTTTATGTTTTTTTCTAAAATAAATAAAAATACATAAATAAATAAAAATGTTTAAATACGCATTTTACGTTCGTGTCCATTTATTATTACGTACTACCAAATTTTAACAACGAAAAACTACCTAAATGTAATGCTTGTTTGGTCTATTCTTATAGGATGACTCTATCTGCAACTTTATTGACGTATCAATTAATCTCGGAACCATCACCAGGTCTGCGCGTGAGGTCCAACACCTGTTCAAGTCTCGCGTTACTACCGTTACTGTCTGCAACCATACACAAATAACTGAAGTGTAACGTCTGTACTTTGTCGGCCGTTAGTCTCATTCCTATACATCACTTGTGTGGTACAGAGTGGATAGCGTCGTCTATACTTTACGCTTATCGTATAAATGTAATTAATTTCCAAGTTGTACATGTTTAAAGCAGGAAAACCCAGATAAAACCGTCCTACCTATTGTACCAGTGTGGGCTTTGGGGCCCAGTTTTGTCCGCGGCCCCTCGCCTGCCTCCGGGGACTCTCGGTGGGATGAAGCCCCTCTTTGGTCCGTTCCCACCGACCGATACGTCCGGGTAGAGCAGTTTACTGTACACGTACAAGCCCGAAAACACGGCAAACACCGTGCACAGCATTAGTGCACGAATGTAACGCCGCATTTTGGAGTTTGAAAACGCAACTCGGGGCTAAAGTCATGACACAGAAACTAGCGTTTAATAATAACCGTGAAGCTCGACGGAGTGATGAGGCACTTCCGGTGGACGTTTACAGAATAAAACGTATTCGGCGTGGCAACTACGGCCCCCGGTGGTCAGGTTAATGTACTACAAGTCTCCACATTTTTTTTCTTTTCAAGCCTTGGAAAAACTTATTTTATTTTAAATATATTTTATTTCCCCTGCAATAACCACCCTGATGAAACTAAAATAGACATTGTATATTAACCTACCCCTTTATGTGCCTGTATCATATGAATTAAATGTGAACTGTGTGTATTGTTGAGCCTTGTCCTAGGAGAATTTCTGTCACTGTTGGGACAGACAATAAAGTCTATCTATCTATCTATCTATCTATCTATCTATCTAGACAGATTGGGATGATTATGTGACACAAATTAAATGCTATCATTACATTACATGTTTCATCAGTCCCCATGAAAGGTTTCTTGAAGGACATTGATCATAGGACAAGACAGTGCAAACATTTAAAAATCACAGTCTTGGTTCTCTTTCCCATTCAATAATTTGTCATTGCAGAAACCTTGGTGTCATTTTTGATCAAACCCTCAGTTTGGACAAACATGTAAAGCAGTAGTTCAATCTGGCTACCACCATCTCAGAAATACCTCCATGTATTAATGTGTTCTTCACAAATTCAGCATAACATGATGCAAGTACTTGGTATATGAATGGTCCTTTCAGGGATGAAGTATTCCTTTAATTACTTTTGGAGGTTCTGAACCTGTGTGCAGCCAATCATTGATCACCATTTTTAGGCGTACACGTTAGGCTTTTATTTTGAAGGCCCCAAAACAACTTCCAGGCTTCCCTATTCTGCCAGTTCCACTTGATGCACTCACTTCATGCAACAGAAGCAGGAGGTCGGGACCCTACATGGGGGAAGGGTGGGAGCTATAAGTAAAGCTGATTCCTCGCACTCCCTACCCCCCTCAGGCTGCATCTGCAGCAACTTTCTATTGATTTCACCTCTGAAAAGACCCATTCACAGCTTTTAGTGACTGCTCCTCTTTATTGATGTGTAGAACAACAGACTTGAGTGTCAACTGCATGTTCATTTAGTGTGGGAAAATAAGATTATTGACTGATGCAGTGGTTGATTAATTAGTGTAAACCATACCTTAAGCTCAAGCCTATGTAAGGAACCTTATTTATTTTTGACTAAACTAGTATATCCTCCTGAGACCCTGCGTCCTCATATGGACATCACATTTTGGGTTTACTTGACCTTACACTTCATTCTGTTCAACTTGGGACACTGGACACATTTTTTTGTCCCATCTAGTGGCCTTTGCGAGAAGATGATCAAACTTGACTCTCTAGATAAAGTAAAAGTCATAACAAGGTTTCCATCGGTGAACATGCAGAAGGATAATTTGCACAATGCACTTAGCCATGTAATCGTAAGGGCTAATATCGTAGGCAACTGGACTTGCTTGCGTTTCTTGAAGACGTTTCGCCTCTCATCCAAGAAGCTTCTTCAGTCTTGGATGAGAGGCGAAACGTCATCAAGAAACGCAAGCAAGTCCAGTTGCCTACGATATTAGCCCTTACGATTACCATGACCTGGATGACTGAGAATCTTCACTGACACTTATCCATGTAAAAACAAGATGGCAGCCATCTCTGCCAAGTCAGTCTGCAGCCGATCTGGACACAAAAGTGGACAAGGCCCAAAACCTGATGGAGTCTTATGGTTGAAACATGATTAAATTTGGCCAATTTTAGCAACAGTCACAAACTAAGACACTGTTGATCAGGAAGTAGCCGTTTGAAGACATTGGGACTTCATTGTCGTGTCATTTGAGGTCATTGGGACTTTATTATCGTTGACAATGTTTAGTTTTTTATACTTATGGGGTCCTACTGATCCCATATAGCTAGGAGAAATAAAAAATGCATATCAAACAAAAGCTTGGGTCTCAGGAGGATATGGAGAAGGACCATTTTTAAATGTGTTTAAAGTTGCATTATAGGCCTGATCCGTCAAATTTGAATCTACATGTGCTATGTTGAAGAGAAGTAGCAGTTATTAAGTCCGTTCACCAGATGGAGCTGAAAACACAACAAAAAAAGCCCTATTCTGCCTCAAAAAAGGCAAATCAGAAACAAAAGAAGTGAGAAAGGACAAAAGGTTAAGTGTTTTTTTTTGTTTGAATTTTGTTATTTTCTTATTCAGACATGTAATAAACAAGTTCACACATTGTAAAACAACTGAGCATGGCAAAGCAAAAACAAAAAAATATCAACAAGAAGTGACAACCAACATATTTTTTAAGTGTCTTTCCTTTTTTTTTTTTCTTTTTTTGCCACAACCAAATAACAAACGTCTGTCCGAACAGTTCTCAAGAGTCCACACAGCTAGTCCCAGCTAGTGCGGTGAACCTATGAGATCTCTTGACACATTAAACGATGCTAACGAACTAAGAGACATAGCCTGTCCCACAATATACCGAGACCATAATATTATCATGCCGTGACAGTTCTCAGGATCTGTGCTAAAATGTTAAAAGTAAAAATCTGGACAATAACACTGCTATGATGGATAATACAACCACATCAAAACATTGTAGTACAATATTTTAGAAATATCCATTTTTATCTGTGTAGTATTCTACAGGTTTCATAAGTTATTGTGTAGTTAGGTTGATCTATAGTTCTGTCGGGGGTTTAGTATATTCTAAAGCTCCCCCACTTTGCTACGTCAAAATGGAGGAATTCAAACAGTCTCTCAAGTCCATCGCACCGCAGGCCCATCGCCTCATGCAGCTGATAACTGTGCACGTCCAGAAGTCAAAGCTCCTTTTCCCGCTGTAGAAGCACCGCGCTGTATCCAGACAGGGTCCACAGTGGAGGCAGAACAGCATGAGCACCCTCTGGTTTTCTGCTGTGATGCTGAGCAGGTGCAGCACAGATTCAAAGGAGAATACCAGTGTCCTTTTTACAGTCACAGTCCCTGAAGTACAGTCTACATTTAGTCTCCATCTTTTTCCATCTCTGAGACCAACTTGTGATAAACCTGGCTTGAAATTAGCTCGTTTGAGAACATAAGTATTAAAAATAAAAGCGGAAACACAACCATGTATAAGGAACTGTTACTGCACTTGCGTAGATATCATTCTGTGGGAGTTGTGTGAGTGACAGTAACCATGGTGATTGGTGACGCACTTTGTCTACATCATGTACTTGAAAGGTGACCGATAGTGTGATCAAAATGTTTCAAGTTGGCTGTAATTAATTACAAAGCCTGGATGATCCTTAAAGCTGCATTAAGTGATTTTTTTGATAGCAAGACTGTAAAATCAACTCAAAGAAACAAAACCCTGAGAGACAGATTTTAGACACTCTGGCTAATGACAGTCTGGAGCGTGTTCAAGGAAGGCAAAGACATGACCTACACTACTCTCCCTCTGATTGGCTAGTACTTTGTGGGCTTCGTTGGTTGGGTTGGTTAGGTTTAGGCAAGAGGAGTAAGGTTGGTTGGTGTTAGTGTAAGAATATCAGAGTAAGCAAATCAGAAGCAGAGTAGGGCAGGTCATACCTTGGGGGGGGGACACCTCCAGGACACCACCGTTACTAATGGCATCAATGAATTCACGCAGTCTGCAGTGGATTTAATTTGTATAACAACAGAAGCAACTTTACCAAAAACATGGACAATTATGAAGCAGCTTTCTACAATATCAGACGTGGCAAAAATTACTTAATGACAATGCACAAGTTGAAGGAGCTGGCGGGACTGCATTTCACTGGAGTTGTACCTTTTTATGATTTCATGTGACAAATAAACTGATTAATTGATGTATTGCCTGACTGCATATCTAGCAGACACATGCCAACATAAACATCTCTTGGATTAGACTTTCTGGTCTTCTGACCAATATTAGCATGATAGCTAGTGACTAATACACAAGAAAGTAATGCACTGCAAAGTAGCATGCTGTGATGTAACTTGCAACAATGTAGCATGCTGCAAAGTAACACATTGTAAAGTAGCATGCTGTGATGTAACATACAATAAAGTAGTATACTGCCAAGTAGCTAGCTGCAAAGTAGGATGCTACTATGTAACGTGCAACAAAGTAGCTAACTGCAAAGTAACACGCTGCAAAGTAGCATGTTGCGACGTAACATGCAACAAAGTAGCGAGCTGCAAAGTAACGCATTGTAAAGTAGCCTGCTGTGATGTAACATGCAACAAAGTAGTACACTGCCAAGTAGCTAGCTGCAAAATATAGGATGCTGCTATGTAATGTGCAACAAAGTAGCACACTGCAAAGTAATGCGCTGCAAAGTAACACACTACAAAGTAGCTAGCTGCAAAGTAAAGACCTGCAAAGTAGGATGCTACTATGTAACGTGCAACAAAGTAGCACGCTGCAAAGTAACACACTACAAAGTAGCTAGCTGCAAAGTAAAGACCTGCAAAGTAGGATGCTACTCTGTAACGTGCAACAAAGTAGCACGCTGCAAAGTAACACACTACAAAGTAGCTAGCTGCAAAGTAATGCACTGCAAAGAAGTAATACGTTGCAAAGTAGCATGTTGCAAAGTAGCATGCTGCAATATAATGTGCAACAAGGTAACACACTACAAAGGATGGGTTTTACGTTGTCGTTGGATGGAAAACTGTCCATCTAATCTGGCTATACTACTAGTTAATGCAAGGATATGTTTGGATATACATGATGAAGCAACTGAGGTTGGACTTAAATTTTTTCCAAGGGACAACGTAACGAACTAACAGTGCAGTATGCTGTAGAGTCTGCAGACCTGCAGTTTTTAGACAGCTGCTTAGCAACAACAGTACTGAAATGAAAGCTATAGGCTGATTACCAATGGCAGCAATCCAAATAGACATTTAAAATGGAACTAAAAAGTTACTGATAACAGAAATGCATTACATTTTGGTGCAAGTAATCAGTAATGTAATTAGGCTTTGTTTCTAATGATTGGATAAGCTCTGTGGGAATCAGAAGACCAAAACAATGAGCCCAGAGCTGTATATTGCTGGAGAGTAGCTAATTCTCTGCGAGTTAAGCTTCTGACTGCTGATATTAACATGATGTTATGTTTATATCAAAAATATCACTTAATGCAGGTATGTGGTTGTTGTTTGTATACTGTTCAAAATAAATGGCTGTAAGGACAAACGAACAAAACCCTGATTGTGTCCCCATTGCGGCTGACTGTGGCATTAACTTACAACAACAAAAAAACACCAGTATTATCCTTTAAAATCATTCACTGTACCTTCTCACATCATTTTTTAAAAGGGCTTTTATCAAAACCTGCCTGATGCCCTATACAAACAAAACAAGCATTACCTGAACTAACAACCTGCTCCAAACATTACCCAAAAACACCAAATGTTGCCAGCGGGAGTACAGCCACTAATGCTGTGTCAAAAAAGTCACTCCACAGCAGAGGCAGTCCAAAAGTAAAAGCCTGGAGTAATCAAGAGCAGGAGGAAAGGTTCGCTGTGAGGTTGAACGTTCAGTGTAGGGGACACTGGGAGTGCGTCGTAGAGGGTTCAGGTTTATAACGGCTGGGTAAAGATTTCAGACAGAGGCTGAAGATTCCACAATAGGTCACTCCGCCGGCCACTGAAGGTGATGTCAAGGGTGGGGCTGCACATTATTTAACAAAAATATCTTAAAAAAAAGAAGAAGAAAAAGAAAGGAAAATGTTGACAGGCTGGTGCATCTGAAGGAAACCGCACAGGACCGTAAAACTTGTCCAAACATTTATTCAGACATATCTCAGGTCAGTTCTGAGGAAGTTCTTCGTCAGAATAAAACTGTCTTGGTAAATTTTCTCATAGTGAAGTATGGACTGGGTGTGGGATCCTTTCAATTGCACCAAATGTCCAAGATGTAGATCATTTAAAACCTAGAAGGTGGAGCAAAAGGTATTTCATATTGCTTTTCTAGAATTCCAGTGCCGCGGAGAATCTTTAAACTAATTAAACTCAGCAAATCTGATGATCACAGTTCCTACTGAAATTGTAATATCCAAAAGAAAGCAAGCCAAACTGTATTAGTCAGTAATGTGCAGCTGTAAAGGAGAGGCAGGATGCCCCACCAGTGACCTGTGGATTTGCAGATGAGATGTGGGTGGAGGCCGGGGGGGTTGTTTCCGAGGGAAGGGGTGACTCAGTGAGATTCTCCGTTGACCGAACTCCCCTCTCCCCGGGGTGAGGAGGAGCGGGAAAGCCCCTTCTCTGTGTTCTCTGAGCTGGAGCCGTTCTGGCTGTGGTGGTCGGCCGTGGACGCAGTGCAGGACGACGTAGCCGAGGTGGACGAGGGCTTGGCCTTCTCCTTAAAGTCTGTTATGATGACTGTCAGGTCCCCAACCGTCACCTCCAGGTGCTGGGCGCTGCTCCGGTCGATGTTTTTTAACCTGGGCCTGATGAGTGAGAAATAAATGGGGAGGGTGAGGGGAAGAAAAAAAAAAGCTTTTGTATCAACCAGCCATTGCAAATCTTCAATTATTTTACCCAAGACTGAAAAGCACCTTGATCTTTTTGCTACAATGTCGCCGAGAACTCCAAAAAGCATCTTCCTGACGCTGCTTTGAAATGTATTTCTGGTGTTTCCCGCCCTCCTCACATCAATCTTTTGAAGTACTTTATGAAATATGACAACACTTCATCCTCACTTCAGGTGGCAACAAAAACACCATCTACAGTTTCTAGTGTTTATTCATGCATCCCTATAATATCTGATTCCTCTTGATCCCCCCACAACCCCGTGTCAGCTTGTTTACCTCATCTTCTTGTGACTGTTCTTCTTGAGCGCCGGCTCTCTGTCGCTCTTCTCCCTCTCTACACGCTCCTTCTTTTCCTTTTTGGGCTGCGAGGGCAACACAAACTGCTGTGTTACCTGCTGCTGCGAGACGAGCTGGGAGACGGGACGAGGCTTCCTGATCCGGGGGAGAGGAGGAGGAGGAGGAAGAGGAAGGGGAGGGGGCATAAAGAGGGAGAGGGGGAGTGTGGCAGATTAATGAGAGGGAAAATCACAGTGAGCACATGGCTTCATGGTGGCGCACCACCGTAATCAAGAGCCAATAATCACTGCCAGTGCTGGTTAGGATGGCGCTGCTGAAGTATTCTTAACACTGGCAGCGAGTGGCACCGCACACTGAGCGCCTTTGGAATAAAAAACCAAGGATTCAGCCATCTGTGAGATACGTACCTGCACAGGCTTGTTGTAGTGCTCAGAGGGATAAACACTGACAAGCTGAGATCTGTTTTTGGTGAGCACAAAGATGTGACGGGAATTGCAAGTGTGAAAAATACACTGAGCTCAGAATGCATAACAGGTATGCATGTATGAACGTCTTCTACTAGCTTATATAAACTCGGAGTGGAGTGATGCTGTTTGTAAAGGCGAGAAGTGAGATCAGCTCTGACCTCAACCGCAGTATGTCACATTTTTATTAAAGGTCACACCCAAGTTTTTCACCCCATTCTTCCCAAATGCCCAATTCTTCTGCACTGCAGTCTTTGTCTCTTTTAAAGCCAGGCGAGGGTGAAAACAGTCATACAGCAAGGCGCTTGCCTCTTCTTTTTACAACCAGTAGTCATGACTGCACAAAGACCTATGGATGTTTTGTTTCAACATTTGGAGGGACACATAAGACGCAGGGTTTAGGGGTCCTCTGCCAGAAAATTCTGAGGAAATTACAATTAGGCCCTGATCACACAGGAAGTGTTTCGCAGCTGGAGGCGTTTTCTTGTAATTGTTTCTAATGAGCATTAAGTGTTTCTCATGTGTCTGTGCTCTGGGAGCTTGGCATTTTCACCGGAGCACCCACGTCATGTTTTTTCCCATTGTCCAATTGGATGATTTGAGAGGCGGGCCTTCTGTGGTGGTCATGACAACATGTTTACAGTTGGTAAACAATGAAGGAAAAACTGGTGGTAGCTGTTGCTGGATACCCAGAGCTTTACGGCCCGATGATAGACAGCAGGTTGTCAGACTGCCCCTGAGTCAACCTAAAATATGCCTGGAAATGGCAATAAGCGAGGGGAAGCTCCTGGGGCCTGTATCACGAAGCAGGATTAATGTCTTAGCGAGGTAACTTCAGGGTTAACTCTGGGTTTTCGGTCTCACGAAGCCGGTTCAGTTCTTATCGGGGTAGATCACCATGGTAACTTACTCTGAACGGCTATCCTGCTCCGGAGCAGGGTAAGTTCAGGGTTGAATCTGATCCTATAAAAAGCACCACCCACTGGCCAATCAGCTGTTTGGAAAAAATGACTCCGCTGACAGAAATGCAGCCCAGTCATGACGGGAAGTTTAATTCATTTGATTGATTTTGATTTGAAAGTTTATTTTGAACACTAAAAAGAAAAGAAAGCAACAACAACAGACAATGAAAAGATTGTTCAAAAAGGAGTGGAAAGAAGCCGTAATGTCATCCCACCCCTTCATAAGAAAGAAACTGATCATTTGCAGACACTTAATAGCACCATTAATTAGTGCCAACATTTTGTTTTGTTGGAGGAAATGATCCCTGTTAAAGATAATGGGCCTAATTGACAGCTTTGCTGCTGGAAATGTGGAAAGTAGCCTATCATGTCTACACTTCATGGTGTTTGAGGGATTTTCCTTTTTGTTTTTTAAAGAGGGAGACTAGGTATATTTTTGCACAGCTGTTAATTTCTAACACAGCTCAATATCAGGATGATTTTATTCAGACTATCAATTTGGTGTTGATATGATTTAATTGTGGCGTCAGCTTATTGTAGTAGGCCTATATATAACGTTATGACAAAGAAGACCAATTTATCAGATGCAATGATGTTAGACGATAATTATAATACACGCAATTCATCTGCGCAGCATTGATTTCATGGGATTCAAGGATGTGATCAGTGTCAGATGTACAGGTACAGGTACTGTAGCTACTTGAACCAGTGATGAGTCATTTAACCTACACATCATTTTATTTGCTACCTTGTGTTGTCTTGATTTTTCCCTCTCTCCTCCTCTATTTCTTCTTTCCTCACCCGTTTTTTTTCTTGTCTATCATGTGATTTCATTGATGTTTTGACAGGGGAATTTCTTTGATAAGCTTTTAGTGGCTTCTAACCTCTCCGGCACTTTTCTTTTTTTAATCTTGTAAATGTTATACTGTCTGTTTTTAACATTATGTGCAAATAAACTAATCTAAACTAAAACTAAACATTATTCATCCCGTTATGTGTTGCCACACATGTTTCCTCCTCCTGCAGCTGCCACGGTGTTGGCCTTTTCTCTAATGTTGCTTTTCTCCTCCTCATATTTTAGTAGAATTAATCTCTGATCCTCACATGAGAAATACTTTTTTCCCCTCACATACGGCGCTCTGTGAGGACGCTCTGTGAGGACGCTCTGTGAGGACGCTCAGTGACGCTGCGCTTCTCTCATGATTGTGATTGGTCTGCTGCATGCGCGTTCACAGCTCTTGATAAAGCAACACTGGGTTGAGTTACCGAGTTGATATCCAGCTTCGTGATACCGATTATCCTGATTGCCATTGTTAGGGTTAGTCAACCCAGGATAGGTCTGGGTAACCCAGGAAAGGTTGATCTCGCTTCGTGATACAGGCCCCTGGATCAACTGGTGGTACTCCCCTCTGTTTTTACTGTCTCATGTACCCAAACAGATCTCTGTTTCCCTGTGGCCAACAAACTATTTACTGACAGCCTCTCACCCTCAACCAGAGCTACAGCAAGTACCTTCTGCCTCAACATTTTAGGAACTCGATGCTAATTACTATGAATTTCCTGCATTCTGGTAAAGTTTATGCACCAATTTGTGCCTTTTCCGTATCAATTCATGGTGTAGCTATCTTCAAGTTTGTGTCAATAAATTCTGTCCGCTACTTTTGTGTTTTTATTGGGAGGGCAGACCCGTCCCCTGTGCTCACCTGAAATCTAAACCTTTGCTACTGCAGCATCAGGGGCATGATCCCTCACTGGCGGACAGTGATTGCTGTCAGTTGTGTTAGCGGCTTCTGTCAGAGTGTATATATATTTTTTCTGATGGATTTAGAGATTTTGATTATGTCATGTACAAAACACTAATGTTTGTGTTGCCTTTGCATTAAAAGTCATGGTCCCCTGTTTGTTATTTATGACAGAGAAACAGCGTTGACTGATAAGCGAGGATGATGCACCTTGGTACACAGGCTCCACAGAACGCTACAAGGCAAATCCAATATCAAAATAAATATCAGTGGAACACTGTTAACTAAATGTTCCTCCTCGCAGTCACATTTCCATCCTCCAAGAGTGCCTGCTGTCTCAAAAATGATACATTATGCAATTGGTCTGGCAACAGTTTGCATGCATGAAGGCTGTGATCGTATTTCTGTGCAGGAGTGTGTGTGTGCGTGTGTTGTGTTTGTGTGTTTTGGGGCTGGCAAGAGCCCTAGCCGAGAGGCGAGTGTGTTGAAAAGGCCATCTGTTGAGAGAGCCTACACATCTAGCGCCTGATTTTGCACGCGCACATACAAACGCATTCACACATCGAAACGGCTTAATGTATGAATGCACCCATGCGCATCGCAGCATGCACATAATGCACCCAGGAGCCAAAGCGGTGCATACAAATCGAAAATGGGTGCACACAAAAACGTATGCATGCTTTATAAACGCAGTGAACAGACACAGACGCCCGCATTGAGGCATGTGACTGCACGCGTGCATGCATGCAAACACACACGGCAGCGAGCAGATTAAGCATGACGGCATGATGAGACGGCAGAAGAGCACAGTGTGTTTTCCGAGCCCAGTCGAGCAGATGTATTTGTAATTCGAGCTAAAAATTAACAACTGAAAACAAATTTCATAATTCATCAGCCTGTTTGTGTGAAAGCTCAAACTGCTGCTCATAAAATATAAAATATTCATCTTCAAATGAAAGCTAAGCATTGTATGGATGCTCTGAGACTGCAGCTCTGCAACAGCTTCACTCACATACACTAACCTGTGTGTGAACCCTTTGGAAAGTATCGCAATTACAAAACACTGGCCTCAAGGTGCTTCACGAAAAATGTGCTTTTGCACTTGCCTAATGTAATTATAAGGATGAAACACAAGTGCAGAGTGTACAAATGAACCAGACTTCACAAAATTCATCCGCAAAATTAGTTTGAGCACCTGGCCAAGTTGCTGTGCAATGCGCCACATTTTTGCCAAAAAGAGCCTCGGTGGCCTATTTAGCTTAATTTAGAGGCTTCTACCTCATTTTCTAAGAGCCGGGGCTGCTGGCCTGCTGTCTTTTTCTAAGGGCAAAGCTGTTGTTTAACAGTTCTGGGATGACCTAAATTGGGGCCCAGCTTCAAAGAGTCTCTCCCAGAGTCAGTTTTTTTTTCTTCTGAGTTATCATTGCCTTCACAGAACATGCAGCGATGCTTGCGAGGCTAGAGCGAAATGCAAATGGGTCTCTTGGCCTACATAACTGTCTGATAGGGAGGAGATGTCGAGATCCTCTAATATGTCTGTCTTGTCAGCACGGTGCTACAGAACTGCTGACACCTTTTTAAGTAAAAGCAGAGGCCTCTCAAAGTCCCCTGTTCCTGGCTCAAGTAATCTGTGGGCTCTCCTTGACATCCTTTAATGCAATACAATGAAGAGAAAATGTCTGGTTTTTACTGAATTTACTGAAGCTCGCACACAAAACGGCCACTGTCACAACAGAATGGACCGTCCTGCCCTCGGGCTGAATGTTCCAAGCTTCCAAAAATAAAAACAAGACGACCTGCTGGCTCATTCATAACCTCCTCAGACTGATTCTGTTCCGGATGTCGTTCTGTGCTTCTGTGATTCACTGTATGTAATGATCAGGTGAATTACTACTGTCTCATTAATGCAGCCAATGAGCACTGTATGTTTTGCTTGATGTGCCATCAAGAAAAAAAAAAGTCACCTG